TTATTTCTATGAAGAATTTGGAATAATACATCAGTGTTCTGCTCCCTCTACCCCTCAACAGAATAGCCTAGCCAAAAGGAAAAATAGAGCACATACAGAAATGATAAACTGCTTGTTAAAAGTTAATGCACCCTTAAACCTGTGGGGGAAAGCACTTCTAACAGCTTGCCATTTACATAACAGAATTGATTTTAGAGTTAATAACAAATGCCCATATGAGTTATGGATAGGAAGAAAACCTAATTTAGTATATCTAAAAGTGTGGGGGTGCTTAGCATATTATAGAGTTTCAGATCCTAAAAGAACCAAGTTAGGACTCAGAGCTAAGAGAAGTATGTTTGTTGAATATGCAGAACATAGCAAGGCCTATAGGCTTCTAGACTTAGAGTCCAACATAATAATTGAAACTAGAGATGTTGAATTCTTTGAGAATAAACTGTGTTCTGAATCTATAGGAAATGAATCCATAGAAAATGACAGAGAACTTGAAAGAGAAGCTCAGATCTCAAGACCTGTTGATAATAATGAGACTGAAAGAAGAATTGACACAATTGTAACACCTACTGATGTGGCGCGATCCGGGCACTCCTAGCTGGCGGCTGACTCGCTCCTTGTTGGCAACGAGCGGCACCTAGGAAGATGAAAGGAAGGATTTCCGAGGATTTGCCCAGTGGGAATACTCCGATGCTTAAGTTAGTACTGTGTATGGGGAGTAAAGAGAGAAACGAAAGCTAAGAGTGGAGGTCGCGCTTTGTCACTTTATTCGAGAGGTTGGAGGTCTCAAGAAGAAGTTTCTCCTCTGCCCCGAGGGCTTTTATAAGAGCGCTCTTGCGAGATCCGGCATAACCGCCACTGGGTCCCTGCCACAGCCGTTACCTGCCAGGGCTGCGTAGGTGGTCGTTGGGACATACTCCTTACCCGGGCTAGTGACACGTCCCCAAAGTGACAGGCACGCCTCCGCCTACTGAGAGACGTGGGCACAGACTGTCGAAAGGACAGGGACTGCGCCGTCAGTTAGGGACGTGGCC